ATGCTTAAGTGTCTGACGAAACAGGACAAATGTTAGAATTTATTTCCAATACAGGATATGAGGAAGGAAGTCAGCTTCTAAATTTACACTAAAAATTGAGATATTCTTTCAGATGCCTTTTTTATTTGGTGAAAAGATAGCCTGTAAGCCATAGTTGCATTACTAGTATAAAAGCCAGCTAAGTAACTAGAAAAGTGACTGAATATAAAAGCTAAAAATCAACAACGTACCAGTTAATAATCATTTTAAATAGAGTCATACAGTAGTGTAAAACTCTTCACACTTTTAATCAAAAACTTAACATCAGAGAGCATTGCCTACCTCTGGCACTCTGCATGTAAGCAGCAAAAAAAAACCCAAAACAACAACAACAAAACCACAAAAAAAAGTGGTAAATATACCACTGTGTGCTTCAATGTTACATCTGCCTGTCCACAGGTGCACTGCCACCTCTATGATGCTCTCTTGCTTTGAAGGAGAGTTGGCACTTCTGCCTCCCCATATTTTGTGATCAGCTGCAGAATAAAGGTCACAGCAGTTTAAACAATATGCAACTATAAAAAGTGAAAATCACACTCATGAGCAGCATTCCTAAAAGGCTACTGGTTGACAATATAGGAAATCCATATTATTGAGACTCTTGCAGATCACATATTATTTTTAATGCCAGTGATGCTTCTGCATCCCTGGCTCAAAGCAATATTCAGCAACACACCACTATTTCAATGAATCAGGGGTTGGATGATACAAGCTGTTAAAAATAAACTACCAAATGAATAGGAATTTTTGTTCTTAATTATTTTTTCTTTTCAGTTCTTTAAAGAGAAGTTCTGGTTCTCCCTTCTGGAATTTCCATTAGAATGCTGGTTCTTTTATATCTTTGCTAACAATCTTGTATCCAGTAACTTCACTAGAATGTTTATCCACGACTGGAGAAGAAACATGGTCCATACTCTTAAATTTTAAAGAGGAAAATAAGATGATGACTGATCTTAGATTGTGCAGTAGGCCTGTGGCAGAGCCAGAAACAGAACCCACATTTCCTGAGCCACAGAGCAATTCTTCATATTGGCTCTTAAAATATGCTACGGTAGGGAGATGCTTAAAGGTAAAGGAAAATGATTTTGAAACCCTAAGACAGAATGGGGAGAAAAAAACAAACACGCAGCAGGAGTTAAACATCTGAAGCAGCAAGAGTTTTCAGAGAAAGCTGACAGCAAATCACACACAAGCAAGCAAAAATACATCAGGCAGACTGTCTATGGTTTCATACTGCAACCTCAATAAGAAGGTCCTTATCTTATTATTGTGGATCTTTTGAAACCACAGGAAAAAAAAAATGAGACTGAACAGAAAACATCAGTTTTTATAGGAGAAATTCAGCAACACACAACAGAAATGAGTGCTATTCTGAAATCTAGATATGAGGAAATGTTAATAAAATTAAGAGTGTTTAAAATTAAGCACAGCTATCTAAAAATACGAGAAGCATACAATGAAAAATTTTCGAGGCGGTGAAAAGGAAAATGTATTTAGGAGTCAATGGATTAAAGATGAAGAACTTTCAAGTTTTCACATCAGAAACTGATTTCTAGTACTCGTTTTAGGTAGAGTAAGTCTCCTTCAGGAAGGACTTGCAGTGTTTGAGTATTTTTTGTGGAATATTAATTTTAAAATCTTGTTTCAAAGCAACCCAGCAAATATACTCTATTTTTGCTCCCCCCTTAGGGTAATGAATGCAACAATATCTTTTATTTCTTTCTGCACAATATATCCTGTAGATATACCAATGACATTTTTTCCTTTTCAGTGCATAAGGCTATTGAAATAGAGCAAACAATCTTTTATATCACTGAAGGGCTGCAAAATAATATTGAACGTGAAACAAAAACAAACCAGCCAGAGTGAGATTTTCCTTCTCTGCGCAGCCCGTTTGTAGGTCATCAAGTTGCCAAGGTGCCATGGAGATACAGTAGCACTTTTTTGTTGTAAGTCCACTGGCTTTTGGCAAGGGAGAGTTGCAGACAACATTGTTTCTAAGTTACCACAGATCTTTTAGCCTGGCGAAGAATCTGAGTGTTATCAAGTGGGCTTGTAGCTCAACAGCAGTGAAACCATACCAGTTAAATGCTTCGCTCTGCATTTCTGGTCTTATTTTCAAGTAAATGGTACATTTCCTCAAAAAGTAAAAAATATTACAAGATAAACGATACTAACTTTAGCATGCATTTCAGACACTCAAATATATTTTTTAAAAGTATGGCTCCATTTTCTTAGTAATCTTGCAATAAACATACTATTGCATAGGTCTCTAGTTTACTCACATATTTGTAGACCAGCTGCATAGCTTGCATATTATTATAAGAGCTAATACAATTACTCTAATTGAAACACTGGCTCACAGCAACTTTAAACTCTGGAGACACAATGGTTCTACTGAGACTCAGCTGAAACACACTCTGGAGTACTTATATAGAGACCACGTGCACAAAATGAGCATCTCCTGTGGAATGAGTTGGAGAAGAGGAGAAAGCCACACAGCGCATTATGTAACATTCCCTGATGAACTGCAACACTCTGTCATTTTACTGCCACTCTGTAACAAAAGTATTTCTCTTCATCAAAACAAATCACACAATGGTTTTAAAAAGGAATCCAGTGGATTTTGAGATGACACCAAATTTTCCATTTTGAAATCTCAAGATGGATTAGTGAATTAGCTGTATGCTTTAATTATTTCTATACTCAGTGAGGCTGAGAGTTCACAAAATTATTATTCAAAATAAGAAAAATTTCCATTTCTTTACAGCATCAAGAGATCCTGTGGACTACCTTCTCTAGTCTTAATCAAATCAGTTTTGGAGAATAGGATTAGCTTGGTTAAAAGAAGAGAGTTAGTATTCAAATAAATGAATTAAACAGAACCCTAAGTAGATTTCCACTATCACAGTAGATGCATTTTTTCATATCCCCTATTATTTCCATTTGTCTATCAAGATACAATGCCAAATCAATCTAATATTCCTTTGGAAAGTTTTCTAGTGAATTTCATTCCAGTCATTAAATTAAAGGACAAATTTTTGCCCTCATACTTATGTAATAAAAGATTAATAACAATTTCACTCCAGAATTACAGACTAATTTTAAAACCATGATCTATTTAAAATGTTCCCTTAATTATCACTTATTCAATATATCTGTTGAAATAAAAAATCATTACAGCAATTATTTTCAGTATTTCATTACTCAAATTCTATTATTCAAAAGAGTTGTGAGACAGCAGAACCATTTACAGAAGGTTAATTATCTAAAATGATCAATTACAAAAACATCTCCAACTCCTGGGGAGCTCTGTCTGTCAGTGACCACTGTAAAGTTTGCCTCAGTTCAGATTCCATAGGAGGCAAGTGTTACTACTGCAGAAATAATGCTACAATTCTTTTCTCTTTCCCTCTGTACTTGTTGTCTTCAGAGAGGATGAGTATTAAAAGGATAAAAGCACCAAGCTAACTTCCTCAGATTAGATGTAAAACGTGAGAAATTACCAGCATAACATTAAGGAAAGCAATTCATTTGACCTTTTTTTTCTTTAGGATATTCTTGACTACTGATTCTGCTATTCATTTTTTTAGGAACCCAGAAGGTAGTTTTAAAGAAGATATTCAAGTACTGGCATGAATAAAGAATAATTTAAAACCTAGGTGATAAACCACACAAACAATTATGTAGTCTATTACAAACCAAAATGTAGATTTACACATAACTGTGACCCTCAGTGATAATAACCAAGCAGCCTCCAAGACTCTCAGTCAAAAGAAATCTTTGTTTTTTTTTTTTTGTTTGTTTTTGTTTTTTTTGCTTTTCAAGATATTTATTCATGTTATTCATGACAAAGAGAAATAATTATTCTGATGCATGAACAGTCCACTCAATCATACAAACTTGAATCCTGGGGCAGAAGCAAATCTTCTCTTTTCCAGGGTTTGAGTATTATAACAGAGGGGTAAACAATCTCTGTTGCAAACCAGAAAGACGACTTTATTTGTGGAAGCAATAATTTATATTCTGATGTGAACAAATTCAGAACCAGCTGCTGAGCAACAGCTGCCCCCATCCCAGCCAATTCACCTTAGTTTTATGGTTGTGGGTTTTTTTGTTTTGTTTTTGTTTTTTTGTTTGTTTGTTTTGCACGACATCATATGGGATGGAATATCCCTCCAGTGAGTTTAGGTCAACTGCACTGGTTATGTCTCTTCCCAGCTCCTTGTGCCCCACAACTTCATGCTCGAAGGACAGCATGAGAGGCTGAAAACCTGAAAATTACTTCTCTGTACAGCACTGCTCAGCAACAACTAAAATACTGGTGTGTTATCAGCATTGCTTTTCTTCTGAAGCCAAAATATAGTGTCATATGTAACAGTGAAAAAAACCATCTGAAACTAGGACATTCTATAAGATATTTAGTAGTAGGGCACAAGTAAAAACTATAAGTAACATTTCTGGAATGTGAGGCAGAGTACTCCTACTCTATTTAAACTAACAGTTCTTGTACTTCTGGATATCTTTTCTTCCTCCATGCCCAGTGGAATTGAGTGAGGTGGGAAATCATCAGTGAGCCATCTAGTTAATGGTTCTTGTCCTCAATCATTGTTAAAAGGTATGGATAGTATTTAGAGAGTAACATAACATTCCCCACTGCAATTTAAATTCATTTTCCATTCAAAAAAAAAAAAAATGGAAACCTCAATTCTGTGATTAAGAAGCTGCTTCTTGTCATATTTTTGAGCACCAGCTGAAGCCAAGCACTCTAACAGCTCTAAGAATCAGAAGAGAGGAACCTGCATTTATGACCTGCAACCAGATGGAAGAAATGGGCTGCGAAGCAACGCTGGCCTGCATGACTACATAGGATGCTAATTGCAGTATTTTACGGCAGTTCCCAAACTGACTATGCAATTTGCACATGATCATTTAAAGTGTGCCTGCCAAAGGATATGAACACAGCAATCAGAGAAGCAGGGAACACCAGTTTTACTCAAGTGAAAGGTTAGAGAGGAAAGGGAACCAGGGAGTCACTGGACCTGATAAAAGATAATGGAGATGCACTGACAGGTTAAATTGTAGCTCACTAAGCTGATGACCAATTCATGGTTGATCCATACTCTTCAGTTTTATTGCTGTTGCTAAGTCTACTAGTGATTTTCTTTTTTCTTCACGCATTCTGTGGTGACTTCCCTTCAGGTGCAATCGCTCAGTGGCATATTTAAAATGTCATAAACCTCTTAAATTCTTTCTAAGCCACACAGCAGGAATCTAGCTGCATCACAGGGCAAAACAGTAGAATTTTTGCCTCTTTCTAGAAAATTCTCTGACCACACACTGCTACAGTGTTCCTCAATAAGTGCATTTACTTTTCCTTCATAGGAAAGATCCTCTTTCTGAGTGACATATTCATATACAACTGATTTCACATTTTGATTACTTTTCCCTCTTTACTTCTCAGTACAGTAGCTTATGCTGTCTTCATGGGACTTTCAGCAGCTTAAAACAAGCCCCAAATTGAATATGCTCTGAAAGGACTCTCCCAATTTCCATGTAGAAATTTGCTGTTTAAAAAAAAAAAAAAAAAAAGTAATTTTAAAAAGACCAAGAGAAGTACAGAACAGAAAGGGGAATTCTCAATAATAATGACTGCATTTAACTATTTTTTTGAAAAATAAATCAGAGGATTAAGACATGAAAAAGGTACTTGGTGTACAACTAGACCTCTTCCCCTTTGCGTCCCAGAAGATAGCAGACAAATCCATGCCTTTGAGCCACTGCTGATGAAATGCTCTGAAACACTTTTGGATATGAAATCCCAAGAGAAGATTGCAGTTCCTGTTCAGTGACTGGAGGCATCATGCTGGAAGTGAGCAAACAGTCTGCAGTTCAGAGCAGAAATTAAACCGCCTGGTAAAATTCCACACAACCACATTCTTCTGAAAATTAAGGCTGTTTCAGATTTTTTCTTTTTTCCAGCATTCTGTGCCTTCTCACTGTAAAGGAGTTATGCTGATTTCTGAGAAAAATGAACAACATTTGAAGCAGCGGTAACCATCTATTCAACACTGACAAATTAAATTAAAGGGGAGCTGAAACAGGCAGAGGTAGATGGCTTTCTAGCTATTCTGTATGCAGTTCTTTCAGAATGCTCAAATACCAACATGCTTCATAATCGACTGCTGACATGGTCTCTAAAACTCCTGCAGTGTTCAGGGAATATTTGTGCAAGAGAAACTGGAAGCAAGAACAAAAGCTTTGCAAGGTCCAGTGCAGGTCTTCTAAGTAACAAAAAGCAAAGTGCTTCCTGTGAGCATCCACAGCAGCCCACGGGGCTTCCACATGACAAGGACCGAGTACACAGCGCAGACTGCCAGGATCCACTTCATATTTCTGCATCTGAAATCTGCTGTGCTATTGTTCCTTTCTTTGAAGGCAGAAAGGTACAAATTTAAACACATTATCATAGGGATTCCTCACTACAAAAGCTGTAGTCTATGTCCTGAAACTGATTTCTCATTGATTAGATGCAGATACAAAATTCCAATTTAAGTATATTATTACATCCTTGCCACTAGGAGAAACAGTGGATGTGTGCATCACCAGAATGATGGAAGGCGACTTTTGTAATTACTTAAACTTCAAAAGGTGCTAAGTTTAGCACAGAGGAATGATTTAGGAATGATTTCTGTTGACAGAACAAGTTAGTTAGAGAGGCTGACGTTCAGCAGAGACCTGTGTTCAACCACAACAGACTGTGGTTTCCACAGATCTCTCTGAATGTAAAACTAGGATAGATACAGCATCAAAACATACAGCTGTAGATAAAAGATTTACTGTCATCATTCAACATGATGAAGTCAAATATTCAGTGTTCTCTACTTTTTGAGAGGATGCACTAAAACACATTTTTGTTTCTTCAAGTAAAAAGCAGAAAGATGTTAATTTATTATTTTGAAAATAACTGTGCCTTCATTATATTTGCTATATCTTGTAAGGATAAAATTTCCACAACCACTGTTCAAAGCCATATTCTACATCTCAAAATACAGGTTAATAGGCCATAGCCTAGTCACAGGGTTTACATTTTCTCCTGTCTAAAATTCATTATAGGAATATATAAACAAAGAAACATACACATATATTTATTATATACACACACATGTATGAATATACATACAGGGCTCTTCTGAGAATCTTCTGGCCACATAGCTGCTGCACTTTTCATTTATATTAGTGCTGCATCTTCAGTGAATGCCTAAAATCACATTCCTAAAAGACCTTTAGGAAGTAAAGTAAAAGCATTTATAAATATAATTCCATATAAAACTCCAAGTTGGAAAATTATAGTGAAAATAAAAGAACAGAATATTACTGAGGCACATCTAGAAAATATTTCTCTCTAGTGATGGATTTTCCTCGGCTGCCATAAATACTGACTTGACTGCAGTTCATCTAAAGCAGTATTTTTTTTTCTTGAAATGAAAGAACGTAATAGTAATAATAATGAAATAATTTGCAGAGGCATTTGCTTTCCATTATAAACCCCAGAATTCTAGGCATTTGCATGAGATTGGTCATGATAATAAAATTTCCCTGTAACAGGCCTAAGCAGGGGAAGCCAAATGAAAGTTTATTGTAACAAAACCGTTCTTTTGTAATGCTTCAGGGAAGAACACTTCCTTACTGCTTGGCACCCTACAGTTGGAGCTTCCAGGAAACTGGGTCATGAAACTTCAGACAACCAGTCTTCTGTAAGGATGCAATTCCACTTGCAACAGTTCTCCTGACTTATAGTGTCCACCTCTGTTCAGCTTTTCCTTTCCTTGCCAACCAGAGGTGAGGGGAAGACCTCACTGATTACATCTAAGCATTTCTGGCAGTAACTTCCCCTTCTAAGTACACTTAATTCACTCACAAGCTTTTTGCATATAGATGATGGTCCTGTACCGATATTATCCAATGAATCGTCAAGAAATCCACATCAACCAGATATCTAGTACTACTAATCTAGTAAATAGTTAGAAAAAACACTTTAACAAAGAGGCTGTGCTCATAGTGACCCAGAGTGAGAATTCAGTTTAGGCCTATTCCTTTCAATTCAGAGTCCTTACCTCTGCTTCGCATTAACCAGAAACAATAACAAAAGAGGTTCAAAAATGAAATTATTCTTAAGAATACGAAATAAATTGTATCACAGATCAGATAAACAGATGACATTTAGAATTCAACTGCATTCCACATATCCCTAGATTACAATAACTCTTTTAAATGAAAACAGTTGCTTTACATTACTTCCTGGCATTTTTATTAAAAATGATTTGACAGAATTTAGTATCATTACTCCTAATTTAAAAATAGAAGTGTAGAATGAGCTAAGTCTTTTTAAATTATTGATCTTAATTTAAGCATTTTGACAGTAGCTTCAGTGCAGTGATCCATTCAGACTTTTTGCTTGGATTACATCATTTTCTAAAATATTAGAAATATTTAAAATCCAATATGATCACATACAACAACCACTAGAAAGCTAAAATACTTAGATAATTAGAATGGCAGAATGGGATTCTGGTTCCAAAGGCAAGTTCTAGAATACAGCAGTATCTGCCTGCTGACTCAAATTCAAATCTGTTTCTTCCATGCCTATTTCATAGCTATATTTCTCCGAAGGCCCATTAGTAAGTAACAATGATTCTGACTGCATGGATTTGTAAGAATAAAAATCAGTGTGTGGCAGTCTGGAAGAAGTTAACCTGGATCTCAAGTATTTATAGCATGATGATAAACTTTTGTCCAGAGCCAAGACTGGATTTCAAACACCAACATCCAGCATTTTTTAAGAAGTATTTTAATCAGTTTGTTACTAGACAGAATCTGTTCCTTCCATGTTCTTCAGGACTCAGTAACAGGTATTGTAGCAGGCTAAGATTTAGAAGGTATAAGATGGTAAATTTAGAATAAAACTGATGAAAAGAGAACTAAAAGAGAAAATAAGCTGTTTCATCTCCAGCTGTGCAACTTAACACACTGATTTGAGATACATGGGTTCTCAGTAAGTAGATCCATTTAATTGAAAAAATGCCAGGAGAGAAACCTGGAACTGAAGTCTGAAACTGGAATAAACAGGAGAGAAAGAAACAGTGAGACAGAACTAAAACTGGGACATTTCATTACTGAAATAAAAGATTTTTGAATGAAACATTATAAACATAAGACCATACATGGTTCTGGAGCTTAACTCCAAAAGTAACATATGATCCAAAATGTTGTTTCAGCGTTAAGGCAGAAAGTTCACAGCCAATCTGAGAACTGGTTATAGCTTACAATACATCTCTCTTTTCCTGACACTCAGATTCTGGGAAATCTGAATGGATGCTAACAGCTACCACCTCATATCCATTTACTCTTTTTAAAACTATGCAATCCTGCAGGTCACTCAGTGTCTGAGGAGGTCCGATTTGTCAGAGCAAGCAGTAAAGAACTGAATTCTTGTTGTCAAATCTAAACTGGAGCCCACTCTACCAAGAAATGCAAGGCTCTTTCAAAGTTGAGCTTCCTAGCAGTAGTACTTGATAGCAAAAGATTTTTGCAAAAACTGATAGCCAAAGTTACAGCGTGACTCCTGATGCATTTGTTCCACTCATGATAGAAAATTTCTCTAGGGCTTTCTGATGCAGCAGGAAAGACACACATTTCTTGAATTCTGTCATGATCTAGGGAGTTGAGTTAAATATTATAAAGGCAGCAAAGGGGAGAAAAAACAATATTTAAATATGAGCCATTCAGATGGCTACATGCTGCAATCAGGCAGAATGTGAAAACATGAAATCACTGATGAAACGTGAAGGTAGGTGTCATATTTAAGAGTTTTGTCTCTTTATTACCATGGATTATTGTTACTGTTGCTTTTTAACAATTGAAAACTTTAGGTTTTAGAAGGAATACAGCCTTGTTCCATTGTACAATATATTATTTGTAACAACAGAGTTTGAAAAACCTGCTCTGTTTACCACAAAGGATCCTTAATAAACTATCTTTTAGATTTTTTCCTCATATGTAATTAGTTAATATTAAAAACTATTTAATAATTATTTTTAGTAACCAATAGAAAGCATTACATATAAAGCATATGGTAGTACTGTAAATTAATGTTTGTTTCATAAGTCAACAAACAGAATGAATTCTTCAAATTTAACCTTTAAAATCTATTTCAAGATGGTTCATTTTATTACTCACAGGCTGAAAAACAAATTCTTCCTAGAGAAACATGAAAATTCTGTCTTATATTTACACATTTTCAGTACAACTGCAACTCTCTTTACCTGCACATCTTCACAGATGCTATCCTGCTAACTGTCAAACAATCCCTGAAGATCAAAATCATCTATTTTTTATTTAGATTCAGAGGTGAGGTCAACTGAGACCTAAAAACATCATTAAACAGTCAAAATTAATCTGTAAAGCTGAGTCTACCATAACATGTTAGAGAAAATTAAACACATGTGAAAAGGCATAAAATAAGTTAAATGAATGCTGCTGCTAAGAAAAAGAACAGATATGTGATGAGTCTTTCCTCATAATAACATCTAATTAGAGTGGGAAGTTTATCTTCCACTTTCTAGAGCAAACTTAGTTATCCTTCTGCAGAAAGCTCATAAAGGTCTATCAGAACTCAGTCTCTAAGGCTACAACCCATTAAGAATAATTTGTCACTTAACAATACATTGAGATAAGATATCATTAAGAAGCCATCTACTTAAAAAGAAACACCAACATCTCAAAAAATATGAGAAGTATGAGATCAAAGTTTGCAGATGACATCCTCACACACAAATCCTTTCAAATTATAGCTCAGTATTCATTCACAGATCAAGAAAACAACCTAGTTCCAAGGATTTTAAGAATCAATCTGAAGAAGCTGAGAATTGCCACAATTCCCCAAAAGTTCAAAGCAAGATAAAATCATAGAATAGTTTGGGTTGGAAGGGACCCCTAAGACGACCTTGTTCCAAAGCCCCTGCAAATAGGCAGGGACACTCCCTCTAGACCAGGTTGCTCAAAGCCCCCTCCAGCCTGGCCTTGAATGCTTCCAGGGAGGGGGCAAAAGAAGAAAAAAGAACAGTGATGAAATATGCACGTTTACATGTACATGCTTCATCTTTCACAAGAAGCTTCAGTCAAGTGATGTTGCTTTTGCTCAAACAAGTTTTATTTAGTACATAGAAGTGGTGTGCAGTACTGTCAGAAGATACAACTTACATAGTTGTGTGAATGGATATCAACATTAACAGCAGATTTTTAAAATACTTCAAGACTGTGCTTCTTACGCTAAAATACACTGCTGCTTGAGTGTGCTTAACTGATTTAAATTTGGACTGGTGTTAAGCAGGTTCTCGGTAGTACAGAGGAAGATTGGAGAGCATGTTTCTGTGCTTCTGCCTCTTTGCCTCTCACTACACTTCTTCATAACTTAACATATTTGCCATGGTGTAGTTAAAATAATTTCCTTATAAATTTGTTCTCTGAATCAATTGGGTTCCTGCAGCAAGAGTTGAATTCAGCAACAACCTACATAAGCAAAGATTTCTTGTCTATGAAATTATCTTTGCCTCAAAGATAATTGCACTTTGTGATATTAAGCACTCAGGCATATTCAAGTTATTCTCAGAAATAATAATAAAATGCTTAATAAAGACCCATCTGAGGTTTTGATGGAAGCATGAATTTAATTTCATAAAAATAATTAAATTGCTCGGCTTCCTATTATTCCTGAGGTCTTCTGTGCTCAACTCACCTATCCTGGGAGTCGCCTCTTTTTATTTTCATTGCGATTTAATAAGTGCTATCACTCCACGTTGTAGGAAACATTGAAGTGCAGTTGAGGACTCAAAGCCAGCCTAGGTGGGAGGGGGTGGAAAATGATTGCAGAAACACCTGCACTCACTGCAGGAAAGTCTATTTCAAGGACATGTAGAAACAGTGATAGAAACAGTGATAGAAAATTAAACAACTTTTAAAATTCACCAGGAAAATAACACATCTGATGTTGCACAGTAAACTAATACTTTAACATCATACTAATACTTCACTCATACCATGCTTTACAAACTAATAAATTATCATCAGTGTCCAGATATCATTTGATCTCTAATAAAAGCTCACTCTAAAGAAATAGCCAGAAGAACAGCAGTGTATGTATTTTGACATTATTAAGGTGATAATGTGCAAACTGCACCAAAAACGTTCAAATGCTACAGAGTAGTCCAGGAGAGGTGGACAAAAGAATGAGGCAGAGGAAGTTTCAAACATTTCTACTTCTGTTGTCTTAAAGCACATACCTATCTTATATCCAAGAGAACTATAGGTGTCAACATTTAGCTCTCATCATACTCAGGGCTTAAAATTTCCCTTTGAACAATTAATTATAATATAATCAAATAATCTGAATTCAAACATCAAAGTGCTGATTTCTTGCTGACTTAGCCTGGAATGTATTTGTATAAGTTCATAATGCCATCCTGACTAAAGCAGCCAACAACTCTATTAATGCATTATTAATTATGATATCTTGTGAAATATATTCTGACTAGATCTCTTAAGATCATCAAAAATGGTTTCAAGTTAGAAATAAAACATTTGAAAAGATTTGGAAGGAAAGAAGGAACATAGTTTTAAATTCTTTGTAGAGGTAAACAGAAGAGAAACATACACAGAAGGCATGGTAGTTTTTATGTAAAGCAACCATCAACTGAAAGCTTTTCAAGATGAATTATTTTTTAAAAGCTCAATATAATATTTTAAATAAAAATCTGATAGGCAGTTACAAATGCAGGCAGAAATTAATGCTACGAGATACAAATTTCTGATATTTTGGTATGAAATTATCATCCTTCAGTTTTCTTTCAATAAATAGGTGTGTGGTTGTTTTTTTGTTTTTTTTAACATCTTACCATGATGATCTTACAGCAGATTTCTATTATAATGGTCAAGTGACATGTGAAAATCAAGCATTAACTTTTACAAAGTAATTTTCACAAATGTTACAAGAAAAGCATTAAATAGAAATTTGAGATTAAAAGAGGAAGAAAAGAAAAAGTGATCAGACCATAAAGCTCTTAATGGGTAAATAATATTTTGCTGAACTGGCTGATGAAGCAAGCAGAATTTCAGAATACTGAAAATCTGTTAGTCATATAAAAGTAAGAATGAGAAAAAAATAACAATGGAAGCATTTCAATTTTGCTGGAAGTAAATTTGAAGAGTATAGCTTAAAATTACAGCTAAATTAACTTAGTTCAATTGAATTAACAGTCAGAGAATTAATCACTTTTTTCAGGGATGAATATCTGCTGGCTTAGCTGCATGAACCAACTCATCACAAGGTCAGGCAAGACATTTTAAGTGCCAAAGAAATTGCAAGTGCACACAGTCCACACACCTGCTCTGGCACTCCTATTATCTCAGGAGCAGAGACTGACTGACTGAATTAATTTTACATACACTATCTTTCTAAATGAGGTACTCAACCATTTTGCTTAAACCAGTGAAGTTCCAGCTATCATGTCAATTCTACTTCTGCTAAAGTCCTTTTGAAAATAAAATGGAATCAAATAGAATACATTTCATATCACATCCTTCCATTTCCAGATATAGCAGAGGAATGAAAAAATTACTTACAGTGTGTAACTTGGTATGTAACTATGGCAGTCATTATCTACGTTGCAACAGTTCACACTCAAATTTGGATAAAGCGTTGAAGTATGTATCAGAAGGAAATAAGGTCAGTTTAAGATATAGGTCCTTAAGCAATTATTCTGATTATGATTGGCAAATCTGGAGACTCATTTTGTTGCAAGTAAATTAGGTGCTCAGATACTCAAGCATTATGGTAATGCTGTGGAACTGCCCAATAGAAACTGGAGTAGTCATTTTTCTGAAAGAACCCTCTTGCGATTGTTCTCCCCTGCAACTCTCACACCCATATCTCTAGGGTAGGTGGATTTTCCATCTGAGTACTTCACATCCTCCTGTGGTCACACAGGGAAAACCACAAGATGACACTACATCACGTCTCTCGAGCAGAGGAATGCTTACTTCTAAAAGCTGAGATACTGGTTTGTACAGGTGAAAGAGAAGGCTTACTCTTTTTCTTTGAGCCATTAAACTAGTTTTTCCACAGCTGAGACACTGGCTTCCAGGGTAGAAGAGAGATTTTCTTTATCTTCTCCTTCCGTCTTAGTAGGAGTTTCTTTCCTTATAACAGCTTGAAGCGAAAAGAAAAAAAAGAGTGAAAGAGAACAAAATATTCAGGAAGGAATATACTTTCCAAAACCATCTTCCTTACATTACATAGTTCAATAGAAAAATTAAGGAACTTCCTCTCTCCTCCTTTTATAGAAGGTTGTGAAATGTTCAGAGACTTCTTTGTCAAGCAACAGTTGCTAACAATACACTCAGGTCTCTTTCTTAGAAAATGACAGAACTAAACCTGCACAAACTGCTTAGTGGTATGAGGACTGGTGAGCGAGGACCAGTGTGTGAATGTTAAAGTACTCAGTTCAACTCACTGGGTGTGGTTTAGACATGGTCCAAGCAGCCATGAAAAACAGTAACTTGCACATTTATGCTACTGCATCACTCAAAATGAAGGGAAGAAATGAAGACGGATAGAAGCGAAGAGCATCTACACCTCTTTGAATAGTTAAAGAAGTATTATTATATGTCGTACAAGGAACAACAGACAGATTTTAAATGTAATTACATATTCCCCTACATCTGAAATTTATCTCTGGCATATAGCAGATTTTTGAGTATTGTTTAGCGTCTGCATCAGCTCAGGCATATAGAACTGCAGCTGACAACAGCAGAATACTGATCTCTCAGCAGCCATTAGAGGAGGAGACAGCTCCTTTAAGAACTCTATTTTCACCTTGGAAAAAAGTCCAATGATCCCAAGTTTGGCAACCATACTTCTGCAGGGCACCATATGTCTGCCACAGAAACCTGCAGCACAATCACTTGCACTTGGTCTCTTGAACAATTCCACCTACACTGCACTGTTCTAGCACAGCTGTTTAGCTGCTGCCTCAAGCTGAGAATGTTCTCCAAACATGCTAGTGCTGCATTGGCACACTGCACAAACCAGGCTCCTCCTTCCTACATAGAGACACAGCAGCTTATTTCACAAAAATTATATCATTTGCCACCTGTAATCTCTGTGCTATTTTGCACTGAATAAAGGCTGAACGTGGATTTACCAACAAGGAGGGGCTCTTGTTTTGCTTGCCCAAAGCTGCTCATGCTCCTGTATCACAAGAGCCGTTTCAGCACTACAGCTGCACAACGCCTTTCTTTCCTCACTAGGACGTGGCTGATCCGCCCTTTTAGCCACGTATTTTGTGCTTCAGATAGACTGTGGCTCTGCTGCTAAAATATGAAATAAACGCTATTTCTCCTTCAGCTTCATAGTGGCTGTGATACACTTCACACTCTCTTTAATTTAACATGTTCCACGCGTGCACACTCTGAGATTACACCTCCTGTAGCCCCGCTCCCAAAGAACCACCCACGTAACTCCGAAAGTCGACCTCGGAGCCGGGAGCAACGGCGCCAAACTTCCACGCGGCGTAACCGCCACCAACGGACGGTCACGAGGCGCGAACCGCGGCGCATGCGCGTTGCGCACAGCAGGGGGCTGCAGGGAGCGCAGCGGGCCTCAGCCAGCTCCTAAGCTGTGTGGGGTGCGCTGCGCCTGCCGGATGTGTGCGGGTCTACGGGGCTCAATGGGATTCATCCCTGGGTACTTAGAGAGCTGGCCCACGCCATTACAAGACCACTACCAGTTACTCTTCTAACAAGGCTATTCTGTCTGCCTTCAAATAACCTATTCTAATGTCTCTTTTTCCTTTTCACCTCTGGTTACAATAATTTTTTTATCAAACAAGTTTCTGCGGCTTGTGATAGTTAATAAGAACACTTTGAATTCAGCACTTTTGCATCAAGGCTGCACCCAAATTATCATAGGTGACAGAGGCAAGAGAACTCAAATCGTCATCTCTACCTGTATTAAACACACAGCCACTGTACAAAATACACGTGTGCCCCGGGAAATAAATATTCAGGCTACAGATGAGCAAAGTACTCAGCACATATATTTGAGACACATCTTGGTATCACCAACTCACATAATTAAAAATTTGTTACAGAACACTGAGCAGTTTTGCTTACAGAGATTCTCTCCAGGAAAAAAAAAAGAAAATCCATCATCATGTACTGAGCCAGGGAAGAAGGGCCCAAGCTAAAAAAAAAAAAACCACATGCTCACAAAATGATTCTTGAAATGATTATTTCATTCAATATTTCTGCTTTCCAGAGTTTTTTAATGCCAAGGAATCAATGTCCTGATTGATTTCTCTATCATCTTTCATTTTCATCTGTAGGCAAATGGCATTAATATTGAAATGCTCTGTAGAAATGCTTTGATCTATTAGTAGGCTCCAGTGCCGTATAATGAGAGGCTTCTTTATTCTTCCACTCTGTGAGCACTAGATACAAGATATAGCAAAATGGGATTATCTCCATAACTATTCCCTCCCTCCCAAATAGTTTCATACTGCTTTTGTCCCCAGTGTAACTTAAACAGCCTCACAGCAATCTAGAAATTAAGCTTTCAGGGCACTGTTCAGCAATCTCAGCAGTGAGATACCTTTACTACTGTGCATAAAAGCAAGGTAGAAAAAAGTAGAAAGTTCAAACATCCCAGAGGAGCCTGGGGATTCCCTACACTGAAGAAATGAATTACTTATTGAACATCTGTTTTTAAATAATCTATCAGAGAAAAAACTGCACAAATTTGGAGGCTTAATGACTAACTTGAAATTATTTATAGCTGAGTAGATTGCCTATATCTTAGCTGTTGAACATTATGCTGTAGTACTCTTTAAACTACTCTTTATTAACATCTTATTAGCCTCTTCAAAAATTAGGTAAGAGAACAGGTTTTTTTCATTCTTCCAAACCATACTGACATGAATCAGAGGCAAAAGAGAGAAAAGCAAAGTACCACAAACATTAGCTCAGCCTTACACCAAGAATTTCATCTCAAGCAATACACATTAGAGCAGCTCGCTGAGCAAGACTGGTTATGTGATTGATTTCTCTAAATATCGTGAGGTTGCAGACAGGCACAGACGCTGCTGACACTGTGCCCAAATTAATGATTTATTATTTTTGTGGAGCTTCTTGTGGTAAAACAAAGAAGCATCCTAACATCATGAAAATGTTAACATGCATATCAATTTTTGTATGTTCCCTCTACAATAGAAAAAGAAAAAGAAATTAAGAAATATGAGAATAAATAAGAGGACAATCTTACTATGATTTGCTTTGAATTCATTGATTCAATTAAAATTTTCTTCAGTTATCTACATTCTTCAGAAGATATCACTGCAAAATTAAAGAGTACATTTATAGTACATTTTTAGACTTCACTGTTAATGTGCACCAAAAAAAGGAAATGTGCACATGTAAATTAAATTTCCTAAGTCCTTTTACCAGCAGAAAACTGCCTCATTCTGCACCACTAATACCACTTATTTACAAATACTCTTACAAATGAAGAGCTCTCAGGAATCAGAGATACTTCAAATGCTTTATTTTTCATGGATCTTTATATGCATATTGGTATTAACAAACTATCGATGTCAGTGTTTGAAAATATTTTTTTTTTCCTGAAACATCTGAGAGATCTCAGTCTGGCTTTAGTCGACTCCTTCATGATGTGAGATTTACAGAACATGTTGGTTTTGCTCCCCAAGGTAACATTTAAGTCTATGAACTAATGACAATATTTTCACTAAATGGTCAAAGTTTTCAGAATGAAAGTTCTGAGAAGTTATAGAAAATTTGGTAATTGAGTAAAGGCAAAGTGACTGATTAGAAAGCAACTTTGTGAGTGAAAAAGGGAGCAAAGCAGCTTTTTTCAACATCTTGGCAGCATAAAACTTCCCTCTTATTAGTTGACTTAAGCATGTATCAAATTCTGACTGAGTCACTGTACCTGCTGTATTTTTGCCTCATGAATAGGTATACACATTAGCAGGGAAGCAGTTCTTCCAGTATGGTGTTAATGTAAGGTGCTCTAGATTAAACATGAGCAATAGCAATGGTTATGTAGCTATGAATAAGGAAAAGCGTGAATGCTGGACAGAAGTCATTCCTATTCCTCGTATATTGAGCACAAGGTGATTTGGGACATTAGGCCTCCAGAGAAAAAGATGACAGAAAATAGAAGGCAGAAATAGGTGAAGCAGCAAAGGAAAAAATGAGAAACAGAGTAGAGCAGCAGATAAAAGCAGTGAGATTACTTTATACATCAAAATAATGGATCGTGACAGGTATATATATTTGCATTTTGTGGAGCACGCATTCTTCTAGTATTTGATACTCTCACAGAATCCATCTAATAATCTGGCATTGTGCCCCATGTGCAGAACCAGAGCACTTCATATCTGAAGTCTGCTGAAAGCTATATGTACTCTCTCACAAGTACAGATGCCTTATCAGATTAAATGTTCCTTTCAATTTCCTCCCTTTTCCCTTTGCATTTTTATTGTCACTAAAAAGTCTGGATGTACAACCAAAAAGGGAGCCACACCTTTCTTTAACAGATGTTCCAGTCATCTGTTAATCATGGACTGTGCCTCAAATTACAAAAGCATAATAAAAATGGATATAAACATAAAAGAACAGTGGAGATAATGAAACAGGAAAAGTCCTTTATGACACCCCGCATGTGCTTCACTTTTTGACTGTCACAAGCTGAAAGGGTCAAGTAAATAAAAATTTCCGCCCATTTAATTCTTGGCCAAGCTCTACCAAACATCAATATAAGTTATTTTTTAGCTGATCAAGGAGAAAAAGAATAAACAAGGAAACACTAACATAAGAGCAGTCCAACTTAAATGATTCACTATCCGTATTTTTAAAGAAGTTGGAAATAATCACTGCAGTGTTTTTGCATTCAGATCCTCTTTTTATAACAACACAATCATACACTTATACTAGAAAGTAACCTTTGACAGGTAATCAAGGTCAAGTCTTCCTCAAACTTTAGCCAGTTTAATTTACTAATCTATTTCAACTGTTACCCGGTGCAATATTTTATTTCTAGTGCTTATCTTCATCTGTTCGTACACATTTTTCTTTCCCCACTGTTTTTTATTTTTAGGTAAATAGAGAATGGCCCTTCAATGGATGCTTCTCTGGTTTTTAGGTCAGACCTGATTTATGCATTTGCTTACATTACCAAAAATAATGATTTTTTTTAAATTGCTTTTCTATAATCAGTGAACCTTAACTCTATATACTGTAATTTATTCCCAGTATAAACGCATTATTTTCTTTTCTCACTTCACTAAGCAGAAATTTTTAGAACACTTAAGTCAAAGTCTGTAGTTTCTGATCAATAAAGTCAAAACTTAGCAAACATTTTGCTTCTAATTCTCATTTGTTTGATTTTGTACTTTGTGCACAATTTGGACCTGTAAGACCAAAATATTTTAATACTCAAAAGTAGAGTTTTATTGGCCATTTTTTATTACTCTCTCCAGGTCCTGGGGACATTCTCTGTATGGAAACCTTGATATGTGAGATGGTAATTTTATATAATGAGCTCTATGCTTGCTTTCACATATTAAGAAATACTTCTGTGAAAAATAATTGGAAGACATCTGCATCCTCCTCAGAAGACAGCCTACTTTGCTGTCATGCAATATCAGCAGAGGTCAGACTAGAACAGCCCTCCTTCACACTGCTGCATTCAGATCACAGCTGCATCTAGCCTGCTCCTTGCATTGTTGCGTGTTTACCACATGCAAAGAAAATACTTTTGTGGAGTCATTTGTCTCCATAGCCCTCACCTTCTCCTTCCTTCCCACAAGAATTCCAAATGAATAAAGAGTATGCATAAGGCTGTGATCAGAAAGTGAAGGATGAACTCAAAAGGCAGCAGCTGCAGCTGTTGGCATCCTCTCAGCATGGCAAGAACACAGCAAATGGGGAGAGTTGGGGTGGGACAGTGGAGCCCAGAGGTTCAGAGGCCACTGGCTGTTACACATTGGCTGTTGACTGCAAGGGATGGGTAGGGAGGTGGGGTGGAGCATTGGAGAATGCACTGGAGTCATGACTTTGTCAGCCACCACACTCCTTCTCTGAGAAGAAGGAAGCTGCAACACTCCAGAACTGTTGAACCCCTCTGTCTTTACCTTGAAGTGTTGTGCTTAGATGTCTTAGGCATCTGCCATTATAGACTGACTTATCTACCACTTAGGTCCAATAGTCTTCTCTGGTTAATTCTGAGTATGTATAAGCGGGATTAATAGTAATCAGGTTCCCATGGTTAAGGGCCCTAAAGACTGAAAGTCAGTAGCAAGACAATGCAAAAAATATATAAGTTAATATACATACATCTTGCTGTACCGCTTTGGCTTGAAACTTCCTTGTGCTTTCTAATCTGTTAGTTAACTAAGTGGCTAAGTCTTAAGGAGCAGCATGCTCCATAAGACCATACAGATCACTTCGAAATTGGGATAATTTTTTCCAGTCTCTAATGTATGCAACCAACAGAAGCCAACCTCACCTGCAAGATCCACAAAACAAGCATTATGGTTAATGCCCTTTCCTCCATGAATGTGAATCTATATTTTCACTTGTCAATCTATGCTTGTACTTAGAGCTAAGGCAGGGTAAAGCTGTATCTTAGAGATCTCAGATATCACACAGTAGTACTCACCTCAGAGCACTGGTTAAGTTCATTAATTATGAGTCACACTATTACTAATCTGACAGAACTGATATGTTTAAATTAGACAGATAGTTAAGGCATAATTCTACAGACTAGTCTCACTGCTTCCATGCATTTTCCTCAGGATGAGCAAGCAATTAACTTCCCACTTAGGTAAGAGTACTACTAATAGATATTTTCTGAGCTGGTACTTAGTGTGAATAGAATAACTACTCAAAAACAAGTTTTAACAGATGCCAAAAGCAGGTGCCTGAGGAGCAGCAGCAGAACAAGGCAAGCCAATATTCTATTTCTGAACAACGCTTTTCCACTCGGGCACTTTCCAGCTCAGAGATGACATTTCTCATGAACTTGACCAGTCTCCCTATAAATCCATGTAGACTTTTAGCACCAAAATAACCTCTAACACTGACTCCACAGCTCAGACACTCCCTGCACAAAAATCACCTTATTTCTGTTTGAAAACTGATCCCTTTATTTCTTTGTGTTCTTAGTTTCCACTTCTGATGTTAAAATCTTATTGTTTAGTCATTTCTAATATGTAGTTTTTCTATATTTCATTCCTTTCTTCTGCCCTCTATAAAAGCATATTCTCTTAACATGGAAGAAAGAGCAGAATACCTTACAATATTAAAGGTACAAGCATACCATAAATATGGTGTCATAGTCACATTGCTAAAAATTCCTATTTCCTTTGTTCTTTTGATTAAGAGCACTGATAAGATATTGACTTGGAACCCTTATCAGAACCTTTACATCTTGCTCCTAAAAGGTAATGCTTAGCTCAGAGCTTGTCACTTCATATATGAACTTTGGAACTTTTTCTACATGAATTTACATTTGTTTCTACTTATTTTCTCTGATGTGCCTCCTAGCAACATAGTTCTGAAACCAAGATAACCAAGTTATTATGAAAACAATTTGTGGCAGTAGCAGTGAAAATGGTGGTGTCATCTTCTCTTAGATCTGAAGTGTTCATTTATGTTATGCATTTCAGAAGCAGTAACTGTTACTGAAATGGTTTGTCTAAGCTAACTATTCTTTCTGACACAAAAATGATATGCAGTTTTCTGACTGACCTTGGTTTCCTGAGTTAATTTATCACCACTGACAGGAAAAGTTACGCCATGGATGCATTCTATGTAAAACATGAGACTTTCCTCATGGAACAGCAAACGCTGTTCTTATACTTGGAGTCTTATGAATTTTTTTCATAATGGCACATGCTATCAGTAGAATATAAAAATAGAAATAAAAATTTTACCTACTTTCAATTTGTTTGAATGCAAATAAAACCAAAATTTTGTTGGCCTATATTCGCTAAACTTGCTGAGCCAGAGTGTTTATGAGAAACAGAAAAGTCCATAATTGGATAGTGTAGTGTTTGATGGGCTACAAATAAAAAACAAAATTAATTACAAACCACAAAAGAAATGTGAATTCTGAGTTGTCTATATCCCATGTTTTGCTGCTTAAATCTGTTCTGGCAGAAATAAATAGCAGTATTGAGCAGGATCTGATATTGTTTTTACTTAACTATCCCATGAGTTAAAAATAAGTAGATTTACTGAGGAGTAAGGGAATTTGCACATATGAAATACTTAGTATTTTCATATTCTAGCTTTTATCCCTACTTCTTTGCAATAAACTCATAATACATTTGGTCCAGACCTATCTCCTTTTTAGCACATTATTTTTTGTCATCATGGTGTTTGTTCTCCTCAGTTTCAACACAGGCAGTTTGTTCTGCTTCAATTTGAGATTCAATTTATTATCAACAAAGATGAGGGCTCTTGCCCGCCTGGGCAACTTTTCATGGATATTCCTGGAGTACATATGAGATAAATACAGCTGATGGTAGGCTAGCAGCTAGAATTTGAGTAACAGGCAACAAAGGGCAAAATATTCTTGCACCTTTCAGTACCTGTTGGGTCACATGCAGATTGCAAAAATATTACAGTGATGCTCATGTCTTGTTAAAATCCAGACTGAGTTCATGTTATCTCAATTTTCATGAATGCATATAGTCACAGATTCACTAAGAGAGCATTGAGATTCGCATATTCTACAGCCTAGTCAACCCCAGTTCAGTACTTGGAACAGCAGAACAATCCTTTTGGTCCATGCCATTGTGAACATAAACTCAAATTCTGTGCCACAAATAAGGCTGTATGTAGGTACAGTAATGTATGCTCACTCTGCAACTAAACATAAAAGCCATTGACCATGTTTTACTAATCCTTATTCTGTTGATATAGATTTTACATGACCTGTAATTTAACCTAAAACTTCATTCACTCTTCCATACACAGCTAAACTGTAACACAAGATCCAAATCTAAATAACAGTGCTCAGATTTGGTTTCTATCTTATTATGATACTGGTAGGGAATCTACCTATTCTGTCTCTGCTCCCAGATGTAGCCATTCTGGTCTTCCTGGAACCCACAATTTGGCAGCAAATGCATCACTTAGTACAAAGTTCAGGTAAAATTCTTCCTTTAGCCGAAGTTAAACCATGACAGGGTACTGGTACGTAGCTGATGGCAGCTCAGTGGGCATTAAAAGAAATATGAAACTTTCTTACCAGTTGCACGGCTGTACAAGTAGCATGGATTTCTATGCCTGTCTGAGTGATAACTACTGACTAGATTCCCAGACGCATACAGGCATAATTTTGACCTGGAAGATCAGGTAGGTTCTCCCTACCTGTGTAGGGTGTTATTTTATCCCAGCCTATCTTAGACATAACACAAATAATAAATGACATTATTACCTCAGAACAGAAAGCTCTTGTCCATGCAAAAGCACTTGTCCTCATTGTTTCCACATGCATCTTGCAAGATTTCACAGCTAGCCTTAACCTTTTCTTCAGGATTTATTAGGAAATAAACAGCTTGCTGGCTTCAGTTTCTGTATGTCTTGCAGTATTCAGTCATAATTTCTCAGTGCTCACTCTATTCTAAGGCTCAAGCCTTAGCCTTGAACATAACTTACTGTAACACACCTGTCTTGTCTAACTACAGAATTAATACTGATGGAAAACCACTGTCCTATCACAAGCATTTAATTGGCTTAGCTGGAGCACTTCTAGCAATAAGAACATCAAAATGGAGCTAGAATTCAAGGACTGTATAAATGGCATAGAAAATAATCAAAGAAGGTTAACAGTGAGTACAATGATTTTAAGTACAGGGGTTCTAGGTCTGATTGCAGCCTCTACAGCTTGAAGGAAAAAAAAGTAGTGGCAAGAATTGCAAGCATAATTAATCAAGAACACAGACAAGAATTGTAGAGGTCAGGATATCACAAGTACAAGGATTTTGAAATAAAGCAGTTGCCCACTGTGTTTAAAGAAACATGACATTATACAAGCAAACGAGATTAGACCAAGAACTATGCCTTATTTTAGGTGGTGCTTTTTCATTCTAATGGAACAACTGAAATCAATAGTTTTGAATTTCATGCTAGAAGCATGTACCATA